GTAAAATATTAGTAGTTAAATTTTAGAAGTTTAAATTTTTTTTAAATAACTTTTAAAAAAACTAATTTTTAAGAGCTAAAACTTTCTCTGTGGTGAATAAACTACGAGCTCATAAATAAAGGATCACAACTTACAACTTAAATTTAAGTGAAGAATCACAACTTACATTGTTAGATTAAATAAGGAATCACAACTTTCATTTTACATTGTTAGATTTAAGTGAGGAATCACAACTTAAAACTTAAATTTTTTAAAAAGAATCATAATTTCAAAAGAGAAAAGGCCAAAAAGGGGTCAGAAGAATAAATGATCGAGCCATTGGAGATGATTGTCAAAGCAAGTAAACGCTGGAAGAAAGGCATAGGAACACCGATTAATAACGAGAGTATGTTTTGAGAGCCCACAATCGGTGGCCTAAATAGGCAGCTCTGTTCCGGAAATTAGGCCAGTGGTCAGAGCAACTTTAGTTTCAGAACTGTGACGTGTGAGCCATCAACACTTTTCTTCATCATTGATATGGATGCAAAGACTTGAAAAGAAGTGGGACGTGTGAAGAATCTCATGGCTAATTATGGAATGGACCACACAACTTGAAATGATTTGGAGTACCATCCACTGTCTTATGCATGTGATTCAATTTCAGCACTAGGGCAATTCAACATATTATATTTCGTTTCCTTTATTCAATAGCAAGACATCATTTAGATTTACAGAATTCCGTGTGGTTAAAAGAAATATCTTCAATCTTTCATGATGCTTTGCTGTACAATACATACGAGATACAAAATAAATAGCTTTAAAATATTATATAAAAAATTATATCAACTTTTTTATTCAACACAAAATATCATTAATCCACTTAGGATTGATAGATTCTTTCTAAACTACATTATCTAGTTTTTCATCTTGTGCTAGTAGCTACAAGAATGATTAACATTTTGGGCTCATTTCACAACCATCAATTCAATGAATCAAACTTTATAGTAAGCTGATTCTTATATTGTAGGATATGTAATGCCCAATTCTCATTATGTCATCATCAATTTATATATCATCTATTTCTTTCTGCTTATTCCTCTTTATCTTTATGCACTACTGTGATCGAGCGTGAATAACTTAAGCTAAAGGTTGAGAGGAACTATACCAAATGGGTTTCATGGTCCCTTGAACCTTTGAGGACGCGCATGCAGTGCTGATGGCGAATTTTAGTTTAATACGGTCCTTCTTCGTCATTTTTTTTTTTTACCAAAAATAATTACTTTTTAAGAAAAATCTTTAAAAAATTTTGATCATAAGTTGCTTTAATAATAATAATAATATTTTTACACCTTTTTTTAAAATTTTATTTGCACTATTTCTTTATGTTTTTCCCCGTTGCATCTCTATCTTCTCTTTTTCTTTTTTTTAAACATAAAATAAGTTACATTACCTAATGTCTGTTAACTACATTTTTGAAAGGGCAAACATTGAAGCGATTCATGATTCCCGCGGTACAAATATTTTATCAGCTTATTTGTATGGCAGTGGCTCAACCTTATGTGCAAATCATATAGTTAATATTAAACAGACATACTTTAGGAGGAACATTTAGAGTTAGTAATGTATTATTTAATCGCACTCTTAATTATTAATTACGAGAGTATAAAAATAATTAAAAATAAGGCTTGCATAATAATTATTTTTAATAAATTTTAATCAATAATTAAGAATATTTTCATAAATATGTGTGGCATTAGGAAAGGTTTCCATTGGTCCTTGTTATTTTCTCATAAGTAAATATTATATGATGACGATTTTATGAACAGTAATATTATTTTTACGGACTTGTGTTATGTACTTTCCTTTTAATGATTAAGAAAAAGACAGAGAGAGAAAAGTGAGTACTTCTCTTTTCCTTCTTGTAAAAGGTAAGTACACGGTGAAAATGTTAAAAAAATATATAGATATCGAAAAACATTACTATTTTTCTGAAGTATAAAATTGTGCTAAAGGTTTTTTTTAATTAATAAACTAAACAAATCAAAATACTTTGTAGAAGAGAAAACAAAAAAAGTCGCTCCAATATATTGGCATGAAAATGTATTATCTCATACTTTTTCGGGTATGACTCCTCAATGTGACTAGTTTATTTTTTAAAAAAGACAAATAGTGTCTCAATTGTTAAAACAATCATTAAAAGCAAATTATAATAAACTCATGGTTTTTTAGATATACAAGCACCTAAATAGGTGGGTGCAAGTAAAAGATAAATATACGAGGCCTTGTTTAGAATGTTTATGCAAATTTCTTACGTGATCATGAAAGGGTATGTTCCTTTGTCAAAAGAAATTATTTTTATGCAACAGAATTATATAATCACAAGAGATAGGTGTAGACAAAATAGATTATGTGAAAGAGAGACAGAAAATTTTTAAAATATTCTTAATTTATTGATTTTTTGAAACTATTTTTTTAGTTTGGGATGAATTTGCCAAATCAATATAAATTTTGCCATGTCTGATAGCGAAAGAATTTATTTTTTAAATTTTTTTAGAAGATATTTCGTCACAAATATCACGAAATCCACAAGATCGAAGCACGTGTCAAACATCTAATGATTTTGCTATAACATTGACAAAATTCGTAGATAGTTTAGCCAACAACAGTCCGTAGCTTGCAAGGCAATTACACATAGCAGCGACTGTTTCGCCATTAAAATCGTGAAAGTCGCAAAATTAAAATTAAAAAAAAAATCAAAATAAACAGTAGGAGAGCAGCAATAACACGTGGCAACATAGTGAGAATTTCTACCATTAATAGCGAAATTAAAATTCATCACACCTTTAATGAAACCAATCGTTGGTTGACATGTGGTAGGCGACACATTTACCGTCTCCACCCTTTCTCCTTCTTTCCTCTTTTCATCATTATCTTCTTTCTTCCATTTTTTTTTTCCATCCGATTTCAACACCTTTCTTCCATTTTTTTTCTCAAGTTTATACTATGTGTAGGATTGTAGCTAAAATTTTATAATTTTTATATTTTTAACTTATATTTAACGATCAGTGAAATAATAAATTATAATTTATTAAATATAAATTAAATAAAAGATTCAAATAAGTACAAGAAATTTTAAATTTATATTAATACAAAAAAATCTTATTCCATTATATAAATTTTACTAAGATGTAATAAGAATATTCTTATATGTTAAGTAATTTAAATAATTTTAATTAAAATTTAATAGTAAAATACTTATACGTTATATTCTAAAAAGAAATTAGAGTCTTTCCTACATTGTATTTTGTAAAAAAAAATTATTAATATTAATATAATTAATTAAAAACAAAAAATTTTAAATATTATTTCATATTATCTCCTACTATATCTTCTTCTTTTATATTTAAGTTGGAATAGAAGAAAAATTATCTAATAAGATTTTTTCTTCATCATTTCTATCATTATAACTATCATAATTTGAGTCTTAATTATCTTTATTAATATCATTGCTAATTCTTTTATTGCAACAAATTTATAACTTTTAATTCTAAAAAAATACATATATTAACAAAATAATTTCTAAAGTATTACCTTAATGGTAATCATGACTCATAAGAGTGTTATCATTTTGCTGTGAAAGTGATAAATTTAAATTCATTATTCGTGACAATATTGATAAACTTCTACAAACAACAATATCTACATATAACTCAATAACATTTATATCAGTTTATTGTTGAAATACACTTATTATGTTGTCAATATCTTCATCATCACATATATTTAAAATTGTATATTGTTTAATATTTTTATCAATTAAAAAATATAAAATTAATCTAGAAATAACTTGATTATGATCAAGATTAAATTTCAAATGAATTTTTTTTTTAAGCTTCAAAACTTATTCATCGCTTTATCTTAATCACTTTCTTACTTCCTTCAAAACTCACTTCTTCATTTCTTTCATAGATTCTACTATTCTAATATATAATAATAACAATTTCACTCATCTTACATTTTTACCAAAAAAAATATTTAATATTTAATTTTTTCTAAAATAGAATTCAGAAAAAATAATAATCCTTCACTGATTAATCAATTTATTTAATTGAAAATAAATTAACAATAAATAAATTTATATTTTTAAATTAAATTAACAAAATAAATAAACTAAAACTAACTTGATAACACTCTTAAGCTTGTTTTTCTTGACTAAAAATGAGAGGTATGGTGATGATATATATAGTATGAGCAGATGATGAGATATATAGTGTAAAAATTTCATCATATTATTTATACAATCGACCAAATTATGTCACGTGTCAACTTTTTGAAAATTGTGCAATTTGTATAGCAAAATTTACTCACATTATTCCTATCACCTTAGTTTTGCATTATCTATGATAAAAATGACTTAATTTTGCCAAATATTTTACAAAATTATACAGATGTTGACATGTATCATGATCTAGTTATTTCATGCTTCTAGTAGTGAAATTCGTTGAAAAAATTAAAAATTTAATATTTTTGTCAGCTATTTTAGTGAAACTATTATCATGTGGACAGACTCACTTCAGACAAAAATATAGTTTGAAAAAAATAATAAATTAAGAACTTATTTTTAAATTTACAATATTTAAATAAAAAGACCTACAAAAAGTATTATAAAAATGATTTGAATAATACAAGTCCAGTATTAATATTGCTGCATTTGACGACCTTCCCAACAAAAGTTCAAGCTCCCCCCATTAGATTTCGCACACCCTACATTGGTGTTAGGGCGTGTTCAAAAGAAAATTTAACTTACGACCCCAAAAAGAAAAAATTAACAAAATGTAGGCAGCATAAAATGTTTGAAATCACCCCACTACATACAACCATATATATCAATTAATAAGCATTTTACCGCTTTTTATAATTAAAAATTGAAACACTAAAACATGCTCTTCAGCCTATTCTGTACAGTTAGAAATAGTTCAGTTCAGACCAAACACAAGATTTATATGAGCAAGTTGGTGGAGTTAAAATTGAATATAATTAATAAAATTGATTTTAAATTATTAAGCATAATTAAAACATGTGCCCCAAATTAATCTGGGTCACAATTTTACATTGGAACATGTGCACAATATTGATTCTACATGTAAAACAAACAGACCCTTAGTCAATATGGACGTTGTTATGTCAGCAGACCCTCCTCACATTCATCCAGCACATGAAGTATAATTTATCAATCAGAAGAAGACTGAATTTCATTCAGGCCTATATACTGCTTTCAGATACCCACATTCATTCAACTCAAAAGTTCTAGGAGCTTTCACGGGATGCTTTGTATATCCGGTACGCAGCTATGCACATTGTGGCATTACCTATGACAGTTAGTCCCGCTTGAAGAGCCACCAATACCTACAACTCATTAGAGAATCCCATTCATTTCACATGTTCAATCTAATTCACATTCAATCAGATTTTATTCCAAGATGGAAGAAGCATATATCTATTATTGTTATCAACAAGACAAGTTTCTCACCAATGTCACACTACATTGGTGACAATAAATAATGTACAAGAATGGATCTCACAGCATGTAATCCAAATATTATATTTTGTTGTATTGTTTCAAGTAAAAGATGGTAATGGTACATTGGTTCATGCGCTCAGTTTATTTGTACAGAAATAGCAATTTTTAAGTAACTGCTCAGATTGAGGTAGCTGGTAATATCTAATTCTACACCATTATAAAGAAAGGAAATTCTCCCACTTCATCACTAATTTTTACTTTTTCCATCAGCCAAGTGTTCTGTTTCACTAAGTAAAAGAAGAGAAATTTGACATTTTAAATTAACCGCCGAAGTCCACCATCTCACTTCCTACTTTGCAGAAACTTTTCTTTTTCTTTCGTATGTTCCAATAAGTAGGTTTATACTCAGCTTCTACATCTTAAAAGGAGAAAACTAATACAATCCTTTCATGATGGAAAAAAAAAATGAGTTTACACCTCGGGTTGCACTTGCATCCTGTAGTTTTGGTCACAAGAGATTGATCAAAGCAGAAAGTTAAGTGGTGATGGTGGAAAACAAAACAGACAGATGTTAGCTGGGCTAGAGAACCTCTACCCTCACTTTGTTTGTCCAAATTCAAGACTCCCCACCTCTCTCCCACAAAAAAGAAAAAAATATTTAACGTTTGCATATTTCAACACAACAAAGTGCTTTCAAGGACATTGGTTATAGTCAAAACATGTCTTATAATATAAAAATTGAATAACAGTATTCTTAGTCTAAAGTGCGTGATTCTGAAAGTATCTGTAATAAGAATATCTCCACAAAAGAATGGACGATAGAACAAAATCAGTACTGAGTTTTGAAATGCTCTTAAAATAACACTTAACAAGATAAGCATACAACTCCAGGCGGTTTAGATATCTAAAGATGAGTTTAATGGAATGGAATGAAACAAATGAAATGAAATCGAAGGGAATAAAATGAGAGTAACTTGATGCAATGGAATAGAATGCAATTCAACATGTTCCATACCCTTTCAGCCTATTTTAAACAATCCAAATAATGCAACATAGTATCGTTCTATTTCTCCATTTGCATGATTTTATTTTATATTAGATTTGTAGGAATAAAGAGTAGGAAGATTTAGAATTATTCACTCGAGAATCATGAATCACTTGAATTAATAATTTTTTTCTAAATAATAATAATAGTCCTTCTGTATGAAGGATGAAAAGCCCTCTAACCTCCAAGGACTCAGAGTTATAAAAGAAATGCCATGTGCATGCGCAAAGTGCTCCACCAAGTAGAGGTACCTAGAACAATCAGATTCAGATAAGAAATGATGGAATTGAAAATGGAGAAAAATGAGATGGAGGAAAAGAAAGGGCATATGCGTGGAATAGGTACGAAAGAAATAAACAATACTAGAAAAAGGGAAGAAAAAAAAAAGCAAAATTGAAAAAACTCACCATACCCCAAGAAAGACCCTTCCAAGCTTGATATCCAGATTTCTCAGCGTATTGCCACACCAAAGCCATGGCTATAATCCTTTGAGGAGAAAAAGCAAACAATGAATTGAAAAGGGTAAGTAAAGGGGAAACATCATAAAGCTGAATTAAAGATGGAGAAAGATAAGTTACCATTCAACGACACTGGAGACGTGGACGGCCCACGTGGGCAAAGAGAGTGCATTGGGGGGTTCGTGGAGTTGCAGTTGCAGTGGAAGAGATGAAGCTGGTTCTACCAAGCTGAGGAAGTGGAACACACCCACTCCTAGTATACCCGTTTTCGCTTTGGTTTGAGCTTGCGATTTAACCTTTACAGTTCCACTTCCAACGTCGCTTACTCTTGAATTGCACGGAAAGGGGATTTTCGGAGTACAAGAAGGTTTTGTTAAGTACAACGTAGCCGCAGCCATGGTTGGATTTTTCAGAGACAGTGACTATAACTGCTTCTTCTGATATCGCTGCTCCTGCGTCTTCTTTGTTTTCAATCCATCCCACTTTGGATAACACCCTTTACCCCTTTGTTCATTTCAATAATAATAATAATGCTCAAAAGTACCTATAACTAATATTTGAAAATAAAAATATCAGTTTTTAATTTTAAAGACTAAACTAATTAATAATTATAATTTTAGAGTACTTTAATATATTATTTAATTAAAAAAACTGAAAAAAATTTATGTAATCTGAATAGGAAAAGAAATATATGATTTTTAATTTTCATGAAAAAAAAACTTCTTTTGGGAGCTGAATGGTAATCCGTAAAACAGGATTTAGAGGCTAAACAATTCATCAATAATATGTCCATGTAGCTCGGCCATTGGGTAATTTTTGCACTGAAGCCCAGTCTAATTTATACAGGCCAACATTGCCACTAGGACGAGACATTGTATATAGTATGTAAATAAACCCAAAAAAAGTATATATATATATATATATATTTTAAATTTTAATAACAAGAATGTAATTTTACAAAAGAATTTTGTTTGTTTAAGAAAGAGAGAACCTTGATTCATGATCGGGGTGGATGAGAGATATGTACTTGGTGGCATGTATAATAATTTGTATGAACAAAGGGGCCAAATACAGCCTCATGCATGGAATTAATCTAGATGAGAGGCAACGGGAAGATTAGAGCTAGCACGGTGCCAGTAAGGGCTACGTAAGCCAGAAGTGAATTTGATTGCTTCAGAATATCCACGAAACATTGATTGTTTGTTCACCATCAAATAACTAAAAAAGAAAATGATACCCCACGTTACTGCAAAATTTGACGATATTAATACGTAACAGCATAGATACTTTCTCATTTCCTCCTCTACTTCCTTTGAATCATATAGACAGAAAATCACTCTCTCTCTCCACACATGTGAGAGAGACACTTTTCTAAACTATTAAAATTAAGATTATAATAAGTTAAACTTATACATTCGCCATATTAAAATAATTCGTTAAACCTTAACCTTTTTTGTGATGAATGTAATATTTACCTGGAGAAGTTTCTTAATAATCATTTTATATCTTTTAAATTTTTAATTAATTTTTTTACCAAAAGTTAAGTTGCTTTTTTTTAATATAATAGGCGTGTCCTTTAAAATGTGATCTTACATTTAAATAGATAATTAATCTTTGGCCTCGTCTTGTTAATCCAAAATATGCAACCAGGGACAAACTTGAGTTAAAAGCAGATAATGATGGATCAACTAGCTATGTAGCAGCGGATAGAAAAGCTTGGCTGAGTGGGAGAAGGAAGAACTATCAGACGAAATGAATAAAGAAAAATATTCTGCAGAATTTTTCTGCAAGAGCAGTGAACAGAATGAATCGATTGATCAGTTACGGGAACTAGAGACCACTCTAAATTAGACAAATTGATGTGCCTAATCTGTTCACCAAGTTGTATGGAACGAATCCCAGCTATTAATTAAAAAATTATTACATCAAACGGCAATTTAATTGAATAAAAATGTTCTCGCCTTCTTTTTTTGTGAATATCCCATTATATTTGAATCCAAACAGTTTCCTTAGTTTTACTAGTGCAATCTTGGGTACAAAAAAATAATGGGGTAAACAGGCCTTTTTATTTAAATAATGTTTTTTTAACAACAATTTCTTAAAATAAATATATTTTAAAACTAATTTTCTATTTTATATTTTTTTTTAACTCATCAACAGTCGCACATTATTATTATTTTAATAAAATATCGTTCTAATATTATTAATACTATACAATAAATTAACGCTTATTAAAATTATATAAGTATCGATCAAAATAAAACGATAATATATTTTTATTATTATTTTAATATAATATTTATATTTTTTTAATTAATTTTAATATTATTATTATAAATTAATCGATACTTCTTTTTTTTTTTAAAATTCAATTGCCTCCAAACTTTCGATACTCATCATTTTTATATTTATAGACGGGAAGCTGCATCCATTGTCGTTACAAAATCGCATGCCTAATTTGTGATTCCGCATGCCTAATTTGCGATTCTTCTAGTCCGTTGGATTAGACATATCATAATGCATTTGGAATAGCACGTAGATGTGGATTCATCTGGGTCATACATGGATCTTCCCTGCGACACAACTGCACCACACATCACACTTCATACATGGATATGTTTAATTATTTTTTTTCTCTTCGTTTGATCATTTCTTATAGTCTAAACACACGATGCATAATATCAGTGTTTGCTGTCATTCTTTTATTAATTTAATTAACCAATAAAAATATTTTATATAAAATTATTTAATAATAATAATAATAATAATAATTTTAAAGTCACAATATACTCTTTCGTAATAAAAAAATGATGCTTTTAAAGAATTAGTAAAAAAATACATTTTAAACTGTTGTGCAGCTTTGAAGTGTGGTATTTTATGAATATATTTTTTAAAACACACCTTTAATATGTTATTAATATTACAACACTAATTTTGTAAATTAATTAATTTTTTCAAAAATTTTAAAATCAAATAATTATAAAAGTATGTAAAGAATATATTACTAATTTTTATTATCTTTTTCTTCAAAATATTTATTTATTCATCTTTTCTAAGAAGATTATATTTTATTGATGAATATTTTAATAATAGGAGTTATATTTTTATATTTTTTATTTTTCACCTTATTTGACTTTTCGTCTCTTTTTTTACATTGTATTTTTTTTTTGTCTTTTCTCTTTTTTTTTTATCATCTTATACATTTTAAATATTAAGTGTACAACAGACAATAAATATTCTTCAAGCTTAAAAAGTTAACATATATACAGTGATATATTATTCTTGTGTTTAACTTCTACAGTTAATTTTTCCTTCACATAATTGTGTGTCCGGTGGAAGAATTTCTGGCTACTCCTTTCATGAGAATAATCCCTCCTTGTGATACAATTGCAGCATACATCATATTTTAGTATTATATATTACTAGTGGCAAATTGAGTATAGGAAATTTTGAGCGATAGAATTTTAAAATAATAATAAAAAAAATGAGTATAAGTTAATTTATATCGATAGTATTAAAATTAATTAAAAATGTAAATATCTAACGCTGTATGAGGATAATGTATTAAAATAATAATAAAAATATATTATCATTTCATTTTGTCTGATACTTATACAATTTTAACAAATGTCAATTTTTGGTGTAGTATCCGTAATATTAGAACGATACTCTATTAAAATAATAATAAAAATTTATTATCGTCTATGCATTGCAATACTGCTATTGAGTTAGCAAAAAAAACACCGGACAGATAATTAGTTTTAAAATATACCTATTTTAAGAAATTATTTTTAAAAAAGCATTATTTAAAAAAAAGCCGGGAAAACAAACAAACACAGAAGTTACTGATGCACTGGATTTTATTGATCACAAAAATTGCTTTTGAGGTACCAAATATCTAAAACAATCAGGGTTTTATCCAAGAATAGGAAGCATAGGAAGCAATGCAGTACCAACGCACGCTACGATACAAGATGGACCAATGTGCAGCATACCCCTATATCCACACCTTTCAGGTGCTGTGTTTTATCCCACTCTTTCCTCTTCTAGTCCAAATCAGGACAAGAGCAAATCCCATCAAAGACATAATTGAAGTCTGCAAACAAAATTAGCAACTTATTGCAATAGGATAATATTTTTAAACAGCAGCTATACTTCTCTACATAGTCGCAGACTAGTCACGCAACAAATATGGTGTACACAATAAATGAATTAAAGAAATCAATTTTCTTGACGAAAAACAAAAGCTTTGCATTTTCCAACACAACGAAGTAATCAGCTATGTCACTATGAGTATGCAGTGAAGCATTCAAATCATATATCATTCTTTCCTTTTTTCCAAGGATTTAAAATGATAATTATTCAAGCGGACACGTATGTATGTCGAAGGAAAGAGACATAAAGTGGATTTATATTGCCAAACTTATATGGCTGTAATTGAAGTCTAACTGGAGGGAGAACTTACAGAAATTGCAGGAGGAATAGCCACCGCTGGATCTTCAAAGAATTTATTAGCAAGAGCCAGAGCAAGCAGGCTACTTTGCATTCCTGCCATGAAATAAATACAGTTGTTAAACTAACATGCTATTACAGGAATTTGATGTGTGAAAGTGGAGAAAATTTGAACCTGTTTCAAAGGAAATTGTTCGTTGGAGTGCCTTTGCATCGTGAGAATCACGGAAGATAAATCCACTGAGGATATAGCCAGCTATAAAAGATGACAAATGAAAAGCAACAACAAGCAACAAGATAGCAATTCCCAAGGGAGATTTGATAGTCTCAACATTAAAGGCAAGTGGTGCTCCAGCACAGACAGCAGCCACCAGTACTGATAGTGGAGGCAAGAATGGTCGAATAAGATTGCAAATACGAGGAAAGAAACTGTAAAATGAAACAGCTAAGATGTCACCCTTTAAGTAAACATTAATATTAACAAATTTATCTGAAAACATATTATTAATTACCGATTTAGAAGCAGGCCAACAGCAATAGGTACCACCACAATCTGTGTAATGCTATACACCATTCCTTTTACATCTATAGGCAATCTCTTCCCGATGAGGAACAGTAATAAGAGTGGGGTGACAAAAACTGCAGAAGCAGTGGATAGTGATGTCATAACTATGCTTAATGGTGCCATTTGTGGATCTGTCAGGAATGTAGCATAACTTGAGAGCTGGGCACCACTAACACAAGCCACCAATACAATTCCCGCACCTGATTCATTTTACTGCCAAAAATTAGAAAAGTACATCCCACTCTTTCTAAGATTAAGTCAGACCGTTCTCACCTATTGCTGTAGGTAGGCCAAGTACACTTACTGAAATTATGCAAAAGAGATATCCAAGAAGAGGCTTCACAGCAAACTGACCAATATAACCAGTGACAAGTTCTGCTGGCCTCTTAAATGCCTCAACGAAATCACTTTCATTTGAATTAACCCCAACTGCAAACATCAAAAACCCTAGTGCAGGTGCATAGTATCTGCAAGTAAATCACATCATAACAATACAAATGAACATATACAGAAATATGTTTAAAAAATAAATTATTCGACTGTGTGCATTTTGGGTTTCAGATATTATTTGTTTGCACCATTACATATTTATATTCCATTTTGCATTTGCAATTTAAAGAGATACAGCTTGAAATAAATCTAGATGAGAGCCAATGGATTGTTCCCTTCGTTGCTGCAAATCACATGACTTGTTCCATTGCTAAAAAATGTAAATAATAATAATAAAAAATTTTATCAATAAACTCAGAACATTCACAGACCTGCTGGTAAACCATGTTAAAGAACGGGGGTAGATTAGAGCTAGCAATATACTAGCAAGGAGTACATGAGGCAGATATGAATTTGATTGCTTGAGGATCTCCAGAATAGACGTTGAATTTTGCTCTGTCATCTGAGGAAAGAAACAGAACAAACAAGATCGAAGATAGTCTTAGTTACTATGTTTATCACTGTATGCATGGGAGAAATTTCAGAAGTCAAGCTTGATTACAGGAGAGAAGCCTGCATGCTCTGAATATCCAGGAATAAAACTGGAAAATCTACTAATGTTGATATTTCAGCACACTTTAACAAAAGAACCTAAGAAGAACCACATGATATGACATTGATGCATAAATAGTTGAGGATGGCGATCATGCCCCATTTCAACTAACACAAATCACTCCATTTATATCTCAGTTACCCTTTGACCACTCTCTAGGTTATGGATACCATGCATCCAGTACTGTAGAGCAATAGACAAACAGATGTTTTGGCTGTTCAATTGCAGAACAAAAGTTACTGATTGGCCTAGGTTATGAATTATGATTAAGCTCTGCTAATGCTTAATTGGGATTAAAATGAGTAAATTGAACATTGACGATGCATCTGTACTTTAGTAGCTCCTAATTCCCAATTGTAAATGCCACTGGCCATCTTTTATTATGACATATACAAAAAACGAGGCCATTCATAAGACCAATTAACAGTCATATTTTACAAAAACAGTATAAACATTTGAAATTTATGTTACTCACGAGTTAATTGCCGGTAGCAAACATTTATTTATTATTGTTATTTCAATTAAGGTAGCAAAAAACGGGTGTAGACTGAAGAGACAATGAATTACCTGGGTGGGGTCGGAGGAGTGAATGGGGGGATCGGGTGGGAGGGAATCGGAAGAGTGGAGCGATGCACATTTGAGTGGAAGCTTGGGGCTTTGGTCTACAAAAACAGAAGAAGCATAAGATGATTGTTTAGAAAGAGAAATGGAATATGGGTGCAAAATGAGAAATTACATACATTGGAAATGTGAATGTAAACGAATGGAGAATGGAGAAGAGACACTGTGGCATCTCACTGAAATTGGGGGTTTTGGAAGATTATGAGAAGGGAAGAGCAAGGGACGCGGATAGTGAATATTGTGCAACTGCAACTGCAATTGCTTTGCTCCACTTGAAATCATACTACTGTCAATTTGGTGCACAGCTACTGCACCACGAAAGGAATGGTGAGGAACTTGATTAATCAATCCCCCGACACTAACACTTCTTCGTTCTTTCCTTTCTTCCTTCAAAACTTCACCACCTTTTTACCCCCGAAATAAAAAAATACCCCAATGTCCAATGAACTCGGGTTGACTTTTTTTTTCAAACTTGTACTTCAACAAAATAAATATATAAATTTAAATTAAAACAGTCAATAATTATAATTTTTTTATTTAAGAATATTTAATATATTCTTGTAAATTTAATATAATAAATAGTTTTACTTGAATTTATAAATACATGCTTATTTTAAAATTTTGTCTATTTTAATTTAAAATTTTATTAAAAAATTACTTTTATTTTTATAGTAATTAATAATAATAAAATTTTATTAAAAATTATTTTTTTATAATTTTAATATAATAAATATATATCTTTTCATAAAAAACCTATAAAATTAACAAAGTCTTATAAACATAAAGAGCATTTTATTACTAGCCAAAATTAATGAAAATTATTTGTACACAATTTTGGAAGGTTTTTAAAGTGAGTATATTAAATAAGATTCGGATCATCTGCAATTTTAGAGAAAATTACAACATGTAGTTTACATTTGTTTGAGCGAAACAAAATAAAGAGTAGCAAAAAAATCAGAAGAATAAAAGAGAAAAGAAGAAGAAGAGAGAACACAAGAGAGAGGGAGAGTGAGAGAAGATTAATAGAAAAAAGAAAAAAAGGCTAGATGAGGAGAAAATGAAAGAAGGATGAGTAGGGGTAAAAGAGAGGGAAGGGAAAAAAAGCTAAATGTGAAGAGAATGAGAAAGAGACTAAGTGTAGTTGAAAGAAGAAAAGATAAAAAAAGAAATGAAGATTATGTGGGGTGAACTAGTGGAGAAAATGGAGTAGGGTAAAGAAAGAGAAAATGAAAAAAATGTGGAGAAGAAGGAGATTAGCAACTAAGAGAAGGGGAAAGATGGAGAAGAAAGAGAAACTATTCTATTTTTGCTTAAATAAATTTTTTTAAGCAAAAATAAAATTGCAGACCAAAAAAAGAAATCAGCAACAGAGATTTGTTTTCTATTAAAAACCTTATTAAATTTATTTTTAAATTCATATTTATTTTAATGACATTAATTATAATTCTATATTAATTTATATTTATAAATTTAAGACACGTTAATATAACACATCTTTTATATTTATTTTATAAAAATTAATGTAATATTTTAAAAAGTTATCAGTTTATAAGATAAGTATTTTAACTTTTAAAAAATGAATATTTTAATAATTTTTTAATATATTTTTAAATACACATTAAAGCAACGATATTATTAAAATTTGTTCTTCTCTATTTTTAACATATTTTGATTATTTTAAACACGTAAACTTTTAAAATAACTTTAAAATTTCTATGGATTATGCATTAAATTCTTAAATTTTTGAACACTTTTTTTATTAATTTTTAATTTTATATAATAACATTTACAGACTACTTAAGTATTTTATTTAACGCAAAATAACAATAAAAATGACTAAAATAAAATTTCTCTAATAAAATTGAGAACCACCCTTTTTCAAAAAGTAAATTAAAGACTAAAATACTAGATTCATACAATACGGGTAATTAACTTACAAGTTTACTTAAATTTAAACTCGTCGTTGAAACCACTGATTACAATTACCGAATCATGTGTCTGAAAAGTAAAACAAATTAAAAATGCAGCATATACTATATATATATATATATATATATATATATAAAACAGTATAATAACTATTTTTTATTATAATATATTTATATCTTACATATTTATTAATTCATTATAATATTTGCATGGTAAAAAAATGTATAACACGTGCATCACACGAGTTAAAGTCCTAAGGTATTAAATAAGCTTGGAGATTTAAAAAACATAAGAATAATAATAATAATTAAAAAAAGACAATGGCAGGTAAACAAATTAGGATTTGATTACCACAATAGAAGAAGAAGCAAGGCGTGGGGAACGGCCACGTAGGCGAAACGGCAGCGTTGCATTGGAAGTTGATTGATTAATTTTGCTGGTCGCGTCATCTCTGCATCTTCGCTTTGATTCCTTGGCGGGGACCGCAGCGGTTGCGATTCCGTTGTGCTGAAAAACTAAACCGTTATTTGGGATCGCCAATCGCTGCGAACCATTCCCATTGCCGCCGGCGACGAGGCCACCGTCCAATCCATTCCAACCTATCCGATACCAATGACGTATTTCGAGGAGAATGGCATTGAGAACGGTGGCCGCACGAGGGACGTCAACCGTACTCGCGACGGTGGAGAGTACGTGAAATTGTCGTGGGAGGAGTCACGAGATTCTCAACCCGAGCCCACGCCCACGGACAAGGGCCCCAACCCAAGAGGAGGGTCTCCGTTGTATTGGGCTAAATTGGTCCTCTCTGCCCTTTGCTTGGGCCTCTTGGCCTTCGTTGCTTTCAAATGGATCGGACCCTTCTTCATAGAAAATGTTTTTCCCTCTATATTATTGCATTTGCATTTGATTTTGCATAATTCGAATAGTACATGAGATAAGTTTTGTTTTCAGGTGATTGTTCCATTGGTAAGATGGGAGAAAAAGAGATTGAGTTCGCGGGTGTTAGCAGTTGTGCTGTTTGCTTCGATAGCAATATTCCCAACCATACTTTTGCCATCTTCGCCTTCTATGTGGGTGGCTGGGATGACATTTGGTTATGGGTTTGGTTTCTTGCTAATAATTTCTGCTGCAGCTATTGGAGTTTCACTCCCTTTTTTGATCGGTTCAATGTTCCATCATAAAATTGAAGTGTGGTTAGAGAAGTATCCAAAAAAGGCTTCTTTTTTAAGATCTGCTGGTGAGGGAAATTGGCTTCATCAGTTTCGGGCAGTTGCTTTTATTAGGATTTCTCCATTCCCGTACTTAATCTTTAACTATTGTTCTGTCGCAACAAATGTTAAGTATGGCCCTTACTTGCTCGGATCCTTGGTGGGAATGGTGCCTGAGATTTTTATTTCAATTTATACGTATGTTCTCTCTCTCTCTCTCTCTCTCTCTCCTATACTATGTTTTTATGGTGCATGCTTGTCTAGGTTTCATGCATTACATGTGATAGGCTTCTTAAATGAATCAATTTACTAGTATCTGTTGTTAATGAATGTCATCAAGTACGTTTGTTTTGATAATGCATATTTACTTGGCTGTTGATGGAAATCCAGGAGAGTCTTTTGATCAGCAAATTGTAGTGATGGTTGCCCTTGACTGAAACTTGTACTTTTTGACATGTGTTTTATGTTGTTATCCATTGCAATTGTTGGTTTGCTTATAAGATCCTCTTGAATCCACCTTGTCTTCCACTGCATGCAGGGGAATTTTGATACGGACATTGGTTAATGCTTCACATAAAAAACTCACTCTATCTGTCTCGCAAATTGTCCTCAATGTTGCTGGCTTCTGTGTAACTGTAGCTACAATAGTCTTTTTCACAGTCTATGCTAAGAGGAGGCTCAAAGAGATAGAAGCAGAGGATGAGCTACTATTGCCATAATCCAGTAGGTTTAGTCTTGCTGGCTGCACGTGGCAGTTACCACTATCTCTTAGTGGCACATATTGGTGCACCCTGCATAGTTTACCTCATCTATGGGAAGGTTCAAATTTATATGTAATTTATAGGCTCGTCGAGGAACAAGCTAACGGCTAACACCACCGTTTCTAATTCTTTTTCCCTATGTAACCGACGATAAATGGTTTCTTTGATGGAGCTTCCGTCTCATTTCATTGTGAATATGAATGAAATGAAATACCCTTAGGGTGATTTTTTTGAACTCGGCAAGATTCGTCTTTGTAAATCAAATATATCGTCGTTGTTACTTGGTACCTTCGTTTTGGCATTTTTCTTTTAACCTTTTGTTATGACGAAAAGCAAAAGAACCAATAATACAGAAATTATGGAAATGACACGTTGACTTGTTCATCTCCATCCAATTATTTTAGTCTTGTTATCCTATGAAAACTGTTTGTCTCACATCACGTTAAATCACTGGATGATGCACATTCAAAATTTTTATCCGAGTTTAAAACTAGGACAGGAACGGAACGGGAGGGATTCGTCTGAGCCACGAGTTTCTTTTCGTACTCTTCAGCTATTTTATACAATTTTTTGGTGGAATTGGATTCAGTTAAATTTAAATTGATTTGTTATTTACTTTCTGCGTACGACTCACATGGAATTTGTTGAGTTCCCTGAGTTTGACAGGTTATTAATGTTTCGTGTCATTTCCAGCTCCGTGCTTGTCCAGTAATGATCTGATATCTTCGTTGGTTTGTCGTTGAGGTATGGCTATCACATTCACACCTTTTTTGTTTAGTTGTAAATATTCTACTAAAAGAAAACTCTAGACCAAGTGCGATAAAAATTGGACAAAAGGAGAGTGCAATGAAAGCTAGAGGGACAAATGGTATTCTCACTGATCTGCATGACATCCTTAATAACATGAATGCCGTGTAAATTATAAAGAAATATAAGGAATTAATCATGAATTACAAATTAGGGATGGGTTTCTACCAGTCATGATTGTCTCCATCCTTTTCATGCTGCAGCTCTCTTTAACTAATATTCTCATTTACGCGATTTTTATTTTGTTTTTATCGCGCTCGTTGGAATTTCCTTTTTAAAATGTTTCCTTTTATTTGAGCAAACCAGGACATTGTCATGATTATTTTGCCATTGATGATAACACTTCACTTGTATCAATGTTTGAAGATTAATGCAGTACGAGCTTGTAATAATGGTTGCAGCCTTGCACGAACTAAGAATATGATGTAAAGCATAAAAGTGAAAACCAAATGCAATTTTATTATTTAAAGAATTAAAATTAATATTATAAGTGAAATTATATATAATTTGTTTTGTGTTTCATTTTTTTCTTGTTTATAATTCATACGTCTCAAAAATGCATCTTAAAAAGTTGTCTTTTAAACTTGGACAAAAATATTTTTCGCTGTGCCAATACCCATGTAACTTGTACCGATTTAAAGGAATGTGTACTAAGTTAATGGAGACTGAA